GATAAGAAACTATATATAGTTTCCTATCCTTTTCCCATCATTATGCTATGAAAATGCACATTACGTGACATGATGCAACAGAAAATTTGACTGATGCATAAAATAATTGTTTATTGCAATAAAAATCAATTATATTTCTATAGCAACTAAAATAAGTCAAATACTTTACCCGAATAAACAAACCCTTCACTCTAAATAATAAAAAATGAAAATGTGTACATAAAGTCCCTCGGGTCCAACTCAGCAGTCATCACAGTGTCCTCCTGAGCCCTGCTCTGAGGCCTATTACACCAAATGTTGTGTGTGACCATTGTCATCGATGGGTTACTCTTCATTCTTTGGCCAAACCTCAAAGCTGGGGAAACCAAAAAAAAAAAAAAAAAAAAAAAAAAAAGGTTTTAGAGACTCGAAGAAGTCTCAAATCGTTGACCAACAGCGTCATCTAGTGTCAGGATCAGTCCTTTAACCTGAACGCTTCCACCAATCAGAAACATCTGCGATGTGGCCAGAAATGGTCTCCCCACTTTCCCCMCAACCATGACTGCTGTTCCTCTGTTATTTTTTTTTTTTTTGAATAATTGAGACTGAAATCCAGTGTTGCACCACCAGATCCATAACATAGCTCCACCGTGCCTCTGCATTAAAACTAGGAATAGTTGATGAGCTGCACCGTTTCCTGTTGTGGTGACCGTGTACTTTTATGAAAGAGACGGCTGCTCTGCATCCCTCATATTTATGCACAATAACTATTGACTTCCTTCCATCTAATTGTAGGCTGATCGACCTCTCTGCTGTGATGAAGTGCAGGCCTATCAGCTCCTGCAGGGTCCAGCCGAACAGTCGGTGTGCACGGCTCTGCTTTGAACGGGTCCATCACCACCACCAGCGTCCATTAAAACCATAAAGTAATTTAGCCCAGACGTCTAGCCAGTTAGTGGAGTTTGCTTTGTTCGTCTGCATTTGAGACAAACAGTCAACCTCCAAACAGAGGGGCTGTAAAACTGGCATTTTTGCTCTTCTCGTCCGAGCTGAGCGGAAATGCACTGGATTGGGCTTTGAAATTACAGCATCCTGTCCGTATTGTTCGCCACCACAAAAAGGCAATTTAGGCCTATCCCAGGAAACAAATGTGAGACAAGGGAAATTGTCTCTCACTTAAAAGTTAGCTGCTCGAATTTAGTCAGCAGATTTCTTTTTCTTCTTTTTCCTTTTTTTTTAATCGCCTGCAAAAACGCATGGAGTTAGCAAAATTCAGATAAAGTCTGTGAGGAAATTCAAACTGGACAACAGCGGTAAAGACACACACACACACACACACACACACACACACACACACAGACACACACACTAAACTCTCGCACACATACAAAGAGACAATCCGGGAGCGGGATAATTGTAATTTAAGTGCACNCACACACACACACACACACACACACACACACACACACACATGCATACAAGCACACACACATTAAATTTATGTGTGCAAATTACAATTTATAGGTTATAGAAAATAAATATTGCGCACATATTTGTGCTCGTTTAAAGTATATATTTTTAATTTCTTATAAATGTGTGCGTTTAGCAAGTGAACGTCTTTTATTTGGATAGGTACTTTAAACTAAACACAYAACCATAAATTTGAGAGGCAAACTCCAAACCAGTAAGATCAGGTTCTTGTTTGATGTGATACAATTATAATTAATATTTGTAATGACGTGAATGGGATGTTAAACTCATGCCACATTAAGGCCTTGCAGTTTTTTWAATTATTTTATTCATTTATTTATTTGCAGCATATAGTTCTGTCCACAAACGTCCTCTGACCTAAATTTCCAATAATTCCTAAATAAAAATAAAATGACTTTCCTTTTTTCACTGACGTCAATTCAAGGCGTTAAGATTCAAACGTGAGCAAAAATAAGCACAGAAAACAATTATTTTGTGGTTATCATTATATTTGCAGAGAACTATAGCTACACTCCATGAGTAAACTCTACAGCCAAAACAAAAAAGTAAACAAAAAGAAAAAGAAAAATAGATGCACATTTACAGCAACAACTATCACAAAATACAGACGCGTCGAGCTGGGTTTCTGTACAAAATCCTGCACCTTTCTTAAAAAGAAACAAACCGGACGAAAAAGCTAAACATTCACATCATAAATTATGTTTTTTTAATGAAGTTTTTTAAAAAAAGAAAAGGAAAAGAATTCAAGTATTCTCATATACTTCGGACAGTTTATCGCATTCAAACCGCGCGCTTCTCATCTCATAAAAAAACAGAAAGCAGAATGTCATAATCTCTAGAAATATCCTTTTTTTCTCGTTCTCTCTCCTTTTAATACACAATAACTGTGCACTAGAACATTATAATCAGCATCAAAACAGTCTGGAAATGAATGTTAATACAAAAACAATCCAACAAAGTGACGAATATGGTGAGGAAAGAGGGCCGGGGCGGGGAGGAGTGGGTTCATGTGTCTTGGTGCATCTGTGCTGTTCATGTACAAGTATAGACGTGATTATGGATGTTGTTTTTTCCCCACACTGCAGTTTCCATATCATTGCTCCTTGCTGTCGCTCTTTTCCTTGTTCATTTTCTTCATCTTCATCCGCCGGTTCTGAAACCAGATTTTGACCTGCCTCTCGGTCAGATTCAGAACCCGTGCGACCTCGTATCTGCGGTCTCTGGTGAGGTACATATTGAACAAAAACTCCTTTTCCAGTTCCAGAGTCTGGTACTTTGTGTAAGGACAGCGTTTCTTCCTCGTGGAACGGGCGTGTATCCAATTTGCCACAGGGTTATCTGCAAAAAAAAAAAAAAAATGTAATGAAATGAAAAGAAAACGTTAGAAAAAGCAAAATAAAGTCAGAAACAAGCAAAACAGGAAATAGGAGTAGTTTCAAAACAATGACTGACTTTAAAAACTATTTATCTGGAACTTCACACAKAAAAAGCAATATCAGTTATTGCACTAATTCAATGAGAACTAAGCTGACACCGTGCGTTTTAGCAAAAAAATATCCCAGCCTTAACGTGAACAAGCCTGCGCTGATTTGCTTTCTTGTCCTCTTAACTTGTGAGTAACACCGTCGTAAAATACTCAGTGCGCTTATTCTCTTTATTGGCCCATAAAATGGCCCGTGGTTCAAGCCTTTACAGGTCCGTGGTGAAAGTCCTCGAGTTTGTCCCTGCATTCCTCAAGTTGTCTGAAAGAGCCGTGAGGACTGAACTGAGGGAGGACCAGGATATTCTCATGTTTTTCTATGTGTACWGAATTTTTTTCCCACTTTAATGTAAGCAAAAATAGAATAAACAGTAAATGTGGATTTCCTCACTGGATGGGCCTATTTAGGGGAGAATGTGTGCTTTAATGCCACGGGCTCTAAATATTTAGCTATAAAAGGAAACGTTTTCTATATGATGAGCCTCCTTGCATACTTTTTCTTTCCAACATTAGGCAGAATAATTTCAAATTCAACGTCTTCCTGTAGCTTTGAGTCCACGTTTACAACCCTGTCTGGTTTTATAGCCCCCCCAATATTAGCCTGGTAGCATTTGTCTTTTATAGTTCCTAAAGCTTTCCCCCTCCTATAGCACAAGCGATTCAGGGCTGAGCTGAAAGGGAGGAAGCAGCAGCTTATCATTTCATTTTATGCAGGACGATAAAATGCCTTTTAGCAAGGGGGGAAAAAGCCCAGCAGTTCCACACAGTTCCAAAACAAGAATCCCACCCCGCTGTAAAAAAACAGAGCCGTCACTTACTCGGATCCAGCTCCGGCTTCTCTTCTTTATGTTTCCCTGAAGCCAGAAGCTCCGACTCGGGCGAGGGGAGGTTCTGCTGCGTCTTGTCTCGCATGTCAGTGGATGAGCAGTACAGATAATCCGTGTAGGTCCGTCCGCTGGAGCCGAGGCACTCCCCCGCTCTGTGCTCCTGGAAGGCGTCGGGCTTCAGCCCGTAGTGCCTGCTGTTCCCCGGGTAGCCGTGGAAAGGCACGGCGCCCGAGATCGGCTCCAGCCATGAGCGCACGTACCGCGAGTCTGTGCCCAAGTGCGGCTGGTGGCCGTAGGGATGGTAAACCACGGATGACTGAGAGTGCACCGGGGCCCAGGAGGTGGAGAAGACGGCGGGCTTGGGTGCGAAGCTGCAGGAAGGATAGTCCGCGCACTCCGGTACTAGGGACGTCGGACGAGGGCCAGCTGGGTGCGAACCGGGCGCGGAGAAGCGAGTTGCAGCGAGGACATCCTCGTTTTCATGGTTGATCAAGGAGTCCACATAATAATTAGTTATGGGACCCGTGGTCGACATGTCGAAGCCTCCCCGACTCTTTTACATGCATCCGTTTATTATATGGACTCTATGTGTACTTTTTTTATCTAGCCATAGAACAATCAAGGCAGGTAATTATTTCTCAGCGCTTCCCTGGCTCCTATTGGCTGCCTCGCGGACACGTGATTATATTTACCCCACACAAAAATTATACAGTGGATCAATGCGCCACTTATCCTGGGATACCAATGCACATAAACGGGATTAAAGAATGCGCTCTTTTACGCGTTTCTTGGATGAATGGAGGTAACATCAACCGCAACGTTTCTTGTTGTTTTTTTTTTTTTTTTCTCATCAAGGAAGTCTTTGTTTGCAGTCCTGCTGCTGGATCCGTGTGCAGTCGCAGTGCAGACCTGCGCACAATAAAAGCAAGGAACTACTTGATGGTGTAATTCATCTCTGTCAGGCGAAATGTACTGTGGCTCCATGCTATTGCAGTGGATACTGTTACAGCATTAAAACGTTTTATTAAATCGTTGTCCCGTTTTATCTGTATCAAACTCGGCAGCATTTGATAAAGCGACGAGTTTATAACTTCCACGTGGAATGCTGTTTATTGTTATTGAAGTGGAGCGCGCTCGCGGTTCCCTCCAAGTCTAATCGCGGGGTGCAGTTTGCGCTGTTTTTTTTTTTTTTTTTTAACGAGGGCCAGAAGACCAAACATTACCTAAATGGGATTTGTGGAGATAGTCGAGGAGGGGATTCCGGGACCCTGACAGGCAGTCCTCTGCAAAGCGGAGCTATGTTCKGCTGGTGACCGTTCGTAGGGTTTTTATGCCCATCAATAAAGTTTAACGAGGACCATTTGATTGTTCATAAACATGTCGGTAATAAGACAGCATCCGAGATCCCTGCTCAAAATAAACCTCGGCACCGCCGTGTGCGCACGTGAAACTCTAATTTCAGCAGAAAGGCCGGAGACGCAGCAGAGAGGGAGAGTGCAGACAGAAGAGGAGGGTGAATTAAAAAAAAAAGAATGGTGGGTTTGTTAAAGCGATGAAAGCTTTTAATGAAACAGGTCATGTCACTGTTGTGTTTCGCAGAATGAATTGGCTGATTAAACCGAATATAAAACAGCAGCTCTCAGTTTATAAATCTGCACAACAAGCTCTGAACGCAGCAATTAGATGCAGCAAACAGGAAAGCATTGATACACGGTAAACAGACACACCAGTGTTTGGATAAGATGAAAAAAACACAAGTGGTCAATCATACACTCCTAGAAGCGCATGCTCTCTGTCACATTTCCTCCATGATATTTTGCTTTTAATGGTGATTCGCAACTCATACGCTACTGAGCTGATATTTAGAATTTGGGGTGTAACATTCCTCTGCTGATGTAAAAGAAAAAAACACTTTTCTCTTTTTTGTGGGTGCAGCTAATTTTAAACAAAAATAAAAGCCATGAATTACTCCGAATTCTCAGACTACAGAAACATGGGCGCGCAGGCCTGACGGTGGTTGCGTGCCAGAGTGAAATTACAGTTGTTTAGTCCAACAAAAACCCCACTTCACTGTGCTAAAATGATCTCACWGTCTCCCCCTTAAAAAACACTGACCACCATAAATTTCGAAACACGAGACCACCAAAATGTGTTTTTGTCAACATAAACCCGCAGCTTCCAGCTGATAAGGACAAACAGCGTGGAACTCCGTGGCGCATTTAGGAAAAYGCAAAGTGGCCAAGTGTTTTGCTTTCAAATATGAACTTTTGTCATCGCTAAAAGTCAATAATAACATCTCACTTTAATGTATTAGCAGATTTAAAAAAACAGTATTGCAGATAAAACATCTAACGCTTTGAAACCCAATATTCAAACTTTATGAATAAAAAATGGAATCAGGGTTAAGAAGTGTCATGTTTGTCCGGACTGCTGAGTTCAGATTCAAGCATGAAATTTAAAAGGCCAGACGCCAGACCTTAACCCAGGATAACGCCAAACGGTCTCCTGGACTGTGTGGTGTGTGTGTGTGAGAGAGAGAGAGAGGGATCTGATGAATGAGTTTACAATGCTACTACTTCTTTATGTTTATTGAATATTACAGCTTGAAATATCGACATAAAATATGATTTTGTCTGCAGGTTGAAAGGTAAAGTGTGTCAATGCAAAAAAGCAAGCAAAAAAAAAAACAAATACGTAACTAAAACGTCATATAACTCAGTGAGTTTTTAACAAGGTCATGGAAGTACATTCTGTATCCTGAACTGACGTCTGCAACAATCAAGTGAGAACGCATATTATTTTGGAGGTGTGAGTCCTCCTGTTCTTATTCTGCATGCATGTGCAATAGTAATAGTGATGTGTGTGTGTGCAGGGGGAGAAGAAAAGGGATGGGGGGCATTATTAAGAGTTAAATCCCACATTTACAATCTGCGCCATGCCCTTTTTGTTCAGATACAACAGTGCTCTGCAATAAAAATATCTTGTATTTATCCAGTAATTTAACGTTGTTCTTTCTATTTGCATTGCATGCTTGTGATGTCATCACCTGTGTGTGTGTTTGTGTGTGTGTGCGCGTGCGTGCGTGTGTGCAAAGGAGGAACGGTTTCAAGTTGTCCATTCTGCAAAATTGTATTTATTTATTTTTCTGCAAAGTTACATGTAACAATAAAGACAGCAGAAACAACCGACTCTGGCTGAATAAATAAGCTTCATTTTCCATCATTAAACCCACACAAAAAACAGAACAACAGTGGACAGATTATAAAAGTAAATACAGGCTTCCTCTGTTGTGATTTATTTGTAGCTTTAAAGCACTTGTGTTTGTATTTTAAATAAGAA